TGCAATAAAAGTCGAGTGAACAATTAATTTATGATGTTGTTGAGGTCCATGTGGTGTTCTTCTGTTAGGTAGATCAGCAGGTAAAGAAACGAATGCTGGATATACAAACGAATGTAAAATATCCACTACTGCTGTTAAGAAATAGTTCACCCCTTGATGAGTAAAATTCAATTCTGAAGCAATGTAGGGTTCAGAATGATAATGTTTAAAATACCATAATGTAACCACAAGCAAATTCATAGGAGATAAATAGGATGTGGTGGCACTGCTCACATGTAACTTGTTTCTATGAGAACAATAATTTATTAATGGTTCTTCACACATAGAATATAATTCGTGTACTTGTTCAACGTCATGCCCAGTATGCTGTATGCAAGATGCATCAGTACGTTTCCATTCTGACCATGGACGTTGATCTAGAATACAGAAAAAAAGTGTTTTATAATGATTCATTTTGCCTACTAGTATAGAAGCAGATAATGAGCTAGAAGGTGCATGCATAAATCGAAAAAGTTGATGTTACTTACTATCATCTAAAATTTGAAAATGTTGCTGATTAGCAACTTTCTTCTCTTCCAATTTTTTTTGTCTTTCTTCTTCAAGTTCTGGTGTACAATAATTACAGTTGTCACGATGACGATAATAATTGGTGTACAAACCAGATTTTCCCGAACCAGTACATGTCCAAGTTAGCATCGAATCACAATCAGCACAATATTTTCGACGATCAGTTGGAACAGATTCACATTGAGCACAATACCATTCAATTTGTGGAGAAAACATAATTCACGTGTACTATGTATGTGTTATCGATAGAAAGTATGGTAGAGAACGAAGAACAAAGGAAAGTGAAAAAATCACAGCTAGAATAAGAATGACTTAATTTGAGTATATCGCTAGAACAGAATGGATAAAATATATACCGACCATAAGATGTAAACAAATACGACGTGAAGCACGTTTAACACAATAAATACAAAGATGTACTTAATAATTCTCATTTATAGTGATATATATAAGTTATAATAGTGATAGATGAATAGCATTATATATGTAGTATAAGTGGTAAAAAAATCAGATTTTTCTTATGGGTAGATAAAAAAATCAATATTGGGGTATCAGTCAAGCTTGCAACCCCCATATATAGGAATGCAGGCATAAGAATAAGTAAAAGGTATAGGCATATGGATGTCAGTATAGAAATTCAGGATATCGACGACGATAGGCTACATCCTTAAGGGTGTAAGCACAAATCTAAGTGTAATAGTATGCTTATAAGGCCCGAGGTGCACTCTTTTCAAGTTTGACAGGAATTTCGGAACCTAAAATGTTTAACGAAAAAAATTTTATGATGACTAGATTCAAATTAAACCTCTAATTTAATAATTTCAATTTTCTTTTCCTGATAAGATTAAAAAAAAGAACTCATTGCTGTAATTCGAATCCTAAAACAATTTTTGTATAAACTACAAAGAGATTTGGAAAGTTAATTCCTAAGATTTTTAAAATTTGTCATTCTATTTGTTTATGAAAAGAACCCGATCAAGATCAAGATAAAAATGTCAGTAGATTATTTAGTTCTCAGAATTTTGTCCTGTTCCGAACAAAAACATAATAACATCTTGAAAAATCCTTCTATTTATTTTTGTTGACATTTTGTCCAACATTGTTATTGAAATTATGTTGTAATCTATAGATCTACAAATCTAGAAACTATCCTAACTTGAACCTAGCTAAAAACGTGAGGAAACTGTTTCATTCATTCTTGCTATGTCTCTGACAGGATCCTGGAAATTAAATTTTGAATAGTTTCTAAACATAAATCTGGAAAGATTTTCACTAGCTCCGTGTATTTTCTTATCAAGATGGGTCCTGATCATACTTTCTTAGTTGAGGATTCTGACTAATCTAGTTTTATTCCTGGAATAATCCTTCTCTGATATAACTAATTAGAACTCTTGGCATGATGATCCTCGTATCAGGATCTAGAACAGATGTTGACTCAAACCTAATTAAATCTTGACGAAACTCTATGATGTTTGTCAGGTTCCTGAATAGAATTAACAGTGAATCTTAGTAGGATTCTCTGAACTCTATTCAGAAAAAAATCTGAGCAAGAATTTGAACAAATCCTTGATTGAATCGTAAACCAAACTGGATAGGATCCTTAAGATTTATGGTTCGGAAAGATTCTTCAAGGCTGTCTCAAGAAATGAACATGACTGAGTGGACTAAGCAGCAACCTGTAAAAATCTTTGCTAAATCCTTACATATTTTTATCAAGATCCTGATTAGGATTGACATTGGCTTGCAAGGTTTGAAAACGCATATTCTTGAAAAGTTCTGAACAAGATCCTGATTGAATCTTTTCATGATTAGTGAGTTTCGTATTCTGACGGATCTTGTTATTTTCTTGCCAAGATCCTTATCTGGTATGGTTATCACTCCTGACAGGATCCTAATAGAAAGATTTGACCTAAATCTTGGTAGAATCCTCTTTCCTAATCTTGAGAGTATCTTGAGTAAATCCTGATAGGATTCTGTACTCTTCAGTCAGAAAAATATCTGAGCAGAAACTTGAAGAAATTCTCAAGAAGATCTTGTTTCACCTTGAAAAACCCCGAAAACGGGAATTACTAGTATTCGAACTAGAAACCTGAATAACACTTGACAAGATCCTTCCAAAATTTCTCTAGGAATGAATAGGATTCAGAATAGAGATTAGTCTTAACCGCGCTAGATACGTTTCACATTACAAACATATATTCAATCGATTGATGAAATTCTTTTTTTGAAATGCAACAAACAAATTTTTATTTGAAATCGTATTTTTACTGCAAAAGTTTTTTGCATCATCATGCATTTTGAAAGAAAACATACGCAGTTCTTTATTATAGTCTGCGTATATTCTTTGCACATCAAGAAGATGTGACTAAAATGACATGCTCACCGTGAAAAGTCTTCACCAGCGACAGATATTATCATGCTATTACGACATGAAGAACGTCGATAAGCCACGAATGCGAAAGAGAAAGATGATGCGATTTTTATAGAAAGAAACGTATTATAACTATGCCTTCCAGGAATTGTCAAGATTGCATTTAATGATTCCTTTTTGATCAATAAAATGATTCACGCAACAGAATTACCGATCAAAATAAGTGAGAACGGATAATACTATGCCTTTAAAGCACAGCTTTGATACTATTACCAAAGTGCGGAAGTAAGAAAAATGTATATCCAGATCATCAAATTAATTGGTGTTGTTTGATAATAAGCTAGCAAAAAACGTAATATGATCAACATTTAATGCTCTGGGTATACCATAAATGGTCCACAGATGATGAATCATTTTCTATCAAGACTATCTCCACTCATTCGAACATTCTGAAACCTTTTATTTGAGTTGTGTTGTGAAAAGCTATTCGTATGGAGAGTTCTTTGTGCAGCATTAAAAAGTTGAATTTTTCTGAAAATCCTCAAATAGGCTAGAAAAGTTGAGTAAAAAATCAACAAGTCGCCTCTGTAGACATTGAAACTAGAATGAAGGTTCTTCACTACGCGTTACGATGTAACTAATGCAAATCGTCACAATTGACAAGTGATTCACTATTTCGAGACTTTCTGTCAACGAAATAATGTTGATTTTGACTGCGTATCTTTTCCTAGTTGCTTAATATTTTGTGTTCTGGTAAAATACAAACATTTTTACGCCATGATCAGTTCAGAAAAAAAGGAAAGTTCAGGTTTTGCAATGCATTTATTTTGATAGCTTTATTTTTTAGCTCTCGTTTAATCAGACAAGTTCAGAGGACAACAGAAAGCTACATAGAGAAGATAGAAAATAAAGAAAATAAATGAATATCACGCTTCAACAGATGAGATCTTGATCAGGAGTAGTTTTCATTTAACTTTCGAGACTTGATATTTTGTCGACAGGATATTGACGTGATGGTGATTAGAAAGAAGAAAAAAGAAAGCAATGCAAAAAACTTTATACGCGATGAGTAAGTCATGAATTGATTGTTGAGAAGAAAATTTATTTGCATCGACGACGAATGAAAAAAGACAGACAACGAAAATACCGATAGAGGTATATTGCTCTAAAAAGTACGACAGCCATCGTTCCAACCGTAAGGCCTAGCTTGCCCCACCACCATAGCCTTTCAGTGTGTCCAGTAAAATACTGCCATAGTTGAGGAATTAATACTTTCATTCTTTCGACCTTATCATTTACCCATGAACTCTTATAATTTACCCATCCACTCATGTCATTTCGAGCGACTTTCACCAATTTCGATCCGTTGCTTAGCGCCGAGGTTACGAACGTTGCTGTCATGTTTATCATGTTCGAATCGAATTGCTGGAACCGATGGGAAAAATCGGTGGTGTTTACAAAAAGTCTCATCATCTTCTAGATAAAACTCTTTCTATGCTTTCGATTTTTCTATCTCTCTTTTTATGTACAAGTGAGAGCTGATTTATATCGCACTTATATCATCTAGTTTCTCGACGTGGGAACTTTCTCAAACAGAGAATCAATTATTAAGCTCTATCAGTGTGGGACAAGTATTTCTTTCATTCCCATAGAGCTGTTTATGCTTGGAGCGCAGACAGCTTGTTAGCGTTTAAAATGCCAAAGTATCTTCGAGAAACAGAGCATCAACTTGTTTTCACGCTCTGAGCCATCAAATAAATGTATTGATCACACACCCAAGGACTAAGCATACATGAAAACCAATACTAGTTTTGAAGTTCTGATACTGAAACTTAGGTTTGACATGATTTTGATATAACTAGTTTTGGTTTTGAGATTTTGAAAAAAAAACTTGATTTGAAGAAAACAACTCTACACCATTTTACTTGCAAGTTTATTATTTTTGTTGCCTTTAAATGGATTTTTCACACAACATTTCATTAAAGTCTTTTCTTTAACTCCATCATATAAAAGTCAAAATTGTGAAAAATGAAGAAAGAATTTTTAGAGAAAGGGTTTTAGCACAAATATTTTTATCTGTTAGGATGTATGAATGATTTTATATTTCTTTTTCTTTTCTTTCGTTTTATTCTCATATATGGATGTTTTCATGTTTTTTTTCTTCTTTTTTTCCTTTTCTACGTGTATGGCATTTTCTATATACGTAGCTGGAACTTTTCCGTTCATTCATAGTTTGTGTTGGATTTTTTCCATGTTTCGATATACATATATATATATATATGCACTCTTCTTACGAGAGGGTGAGACAAATGAAGATTCTAACTGTATCAATTAATCTTTTTCATATATATTTTGAAGAAACTTCATAAATCCTATTCTAGATAGCTTCTTGGTGTCACTTTTTCACTCACTCAGGCAAATAAGTAAGCGGGGGAAAACGTGTTTAAACATCATGAGTGTAAAGTGATAAAGCAATGTGGTATCCGTCTCAAAATGCAGTTAAACGGCTGAAAAAAGTTTAATTAATTAACATGTTTTCATCGTTTAAATGAATGAAGCTAAATGTCTGTGACCGTTTAACCGCGATTTTTAGGACATATCAAACAATTTCAAAAGTTTGTATGTTTTCAATGTTAATCCGTCTGAACAATCAACAAATGTTTGATGTCAGCTACACAATATTAATTGATTTCGGTGACAATGAAACGACTAAAATTAAATAATGCAAATGCTTGACATCACAGTTTCAACGAGCATTTCATAGATGCCAATCAGAGGCGGATCTAGAATGCTGATAAGAGAGACGAACACTTTTTCGAAGAGAAAGGACGATTCGAGAGAAAAA